TGAGCAAGTGGGACCAAGCAGGCAAAAGCGTAAAAAGTCCTTATGAAGTGCAAGAGTGATCTACTTTCCCTCGGTTTTATATTTTACATTCAGTTTGAAAATCTGAGGCCTATCAGAAAATCTATCCCGGGAATGCATGGTGCCAAATTTTCACATGGTGTGTGTGTCCTACAGTCCAGTGATTGGCGGTAATATCAAAGCCAATAAGAAATCAAAATGCTCAACGTTGTGTTTGTGTTAATTTCACATTCATAGAGCACATCAAATATATGAGCCTAAAAGCTAAGAAAATGATTCAAAATGATGTAGATTCCTTAATCACGCGTGTACCGCTGCTAGAGAAAAATATTACTTATGCAACAACGAAGACGGGAACAGTGTTCCTTTACGTGCACCCCTGCCAAGCGTGAAGGAATTGTTACTGGGATAAACCTTCCATGTTCAATTTCTTTATGACAGCACATATTACCGGCGGAATGATGGAAATCGCAATGGAATCCCTACTCTGGCTAGCGCTGGTCAATACTCCTTTGCAAAACAGCTTTCCATGATCAATTCAAAAGTTTTGAGATTGCGATTGCTCGCGACTGCTGAGGCCTTTGCGATTCAAATAGTTCAACCCAGCTGTGTTTGCAAAATGTTTTGCCTAATCTTGTCTACTGTGGACAAACTGTTATCAATATAGTCGTAGCTTTGACACCGTGTCGGGCACCATGAGTACGCAACTTTCAATCTATCTGTGTGAACTATCTGCTGTCTAGCCACTGATCTAGTTACTTGCCAACAAAGGCCTGAACGAATACTCATCCGTTCATTTTATTTAAACCTTAAATGATTTGTGCCAACACGTAAAGAATAATTGAAAGCAATTGTTTGCCTCAGACTGCTATAGTTTATGAACCGTTGAGGACGTTGCATCATTTGACATCTCCGAACCACTGAGCTGCGTGTCGACAAACTTTGTCGGCAGGCTCTTTGGTGCGTGACTGACCCAAGGTCAATTGTAGTTCAGACAGACAGGCCATAGGGGGGATTACAGGAGTCACCTGCTCGCTTTGCACAGACACCAATGACTTGAAGGACGTCGTACAAAAATAGTATATAATTTTGCAATGGCAGCTCAAGTAGTCCAAGTTAGGATTGTTCACCACAGAACACAGATGTGTGAAATGCTAGCTATTACCTTAACAGAGCAAAAGGAAGTTGACACGGTCTTGGGAATATTGTTGAACTCGAGCAACATATTGCCGTACTACCTAGGCCCAACCCCACATATGTCAAACTACGAAACTTTAGCAAAGCTAGTCCGGCGAAAAGCGATCACTATTGTTGAAAAGCAGTAGTGGCGACATGCCGGTTGAAAATTTACTCAAATCACTTGAAGTGCCGTAAGGTATGACAAAATATGCACAAATGGCACAACTGCATCCGTTATTGGCTGGACAACGACAGTTTAGAACTACAAGCTACGACGCTAATGGTGTAGCACATAAACCCGATCTTGTCTTACACACAAGCCGAGATAAACGCTCCCGTACGATAAATATCCACTCACAATGAAGAGCAGAACAATAAGGGACAACGCAAACAAATGGCCATGACAACGATAATTGCAAATGTCCGAGAATACACAAACGCATCGTTACAACTTAGAAAGTCACAAAGCAAAATGGTTGGGCTGTGAGTTGTCGCGCAATCATAATGAAAATTCTGCCAAATAATCTTAGAAGCTTTCAAAGAAACCCATTTGCACTGCACATTATTAATGCTTAGCTTCTGACGGGGACATTTAGCAACACTCGGTACCTGGAGTATGTTCTCTTAAACATCCATACTTTATTGAACCCTTCTGTTAACGCTTTATGTTGCAAGCAGGCAATGGAAAGAAAACAGAAAGGAATCACTTCCTGAGGCATCACAGTGAAAGGATACGAAGAAATTAGTGGTTTTAGATGGTATAACAAAAGCAACTCTGCTTTTGCCACTGATATCGTTGCAGGCTTTATTTTCGCACTGAAATATTTTAAGTTTGGCAAAAATCAATTTACAAACATGCTCGTTGCAAAACGTTTTGATCTCATTGACTGGTTAATGTGTCACGCAGAAACAAACCTACACAACTTTTATACTATCAGTCAAGTATAGATAGGTCTTAAGCACCCGGATGAGAGCTTCTTTAGCAGTTTACACTATTTGCTACAAATATGACGGAAAAATATCAGTAAATATAAGAAGTGCACAAAAGAAAAATAGTATAGGAAAAAGGTGCACTGCCGTGACATCTAAATGTCACTTGGGTGTACGGTCCCTCATATTTGAGCAAGGATCGCATATTGATATAGTTGTAAGGTTCTTCACCCGACTGACGAGCCCAAATTTTTTAAAAATGTTTCTTGAGAGTTCATTTCATCTGAACAAAAGTCGCAAATAACGAGTTATGCGCTGCCTTGGATACTTTGTTTAAAGAATCGGCGGAGTTAAGTGGGCACCGTTAACTTCGTAAAGATCGCTGTAAAAGAAAAGGTGGAGGATACCTCATGCAACTACAGCACATATGTACAGCTGAACGGCTTAAATATCTACAACTAAAAAGTCTCCCTGAATCTCTCCTGTTCTCCGTCTCAGAAGCATTGGTTTATATTTTACTTCATTTATCCACAACCAACCGAATTATTCAACCATAAATGTTGCCCTTAACATTTCAGCTTTTAAATTTGCCTCTACGTTGCCAAACAAACAAAAGATAATTGCAGGTATTTTCAACATACCGAATATAGGCTGGTCTTTCCAGTCTTCCACGTTTATACACACAGCATTCATTCTTCCTTAGAGTTGGTCGTTGGACTCAGTAGGTTACTGTGCCAACTCGGTTGACGAACACGTTAAGACTGATAGTTACATTGTGTATAGCCAACGTACGGACACAGTCCTAAGGAACCACTCTGGTAGCAACCACCAACTGATACATTTCCCCTTCACTGCTCAAATGAACACCAACCAAATACTTCCCTCCTACTACTACATCCACAAGATTAACTTGGTTCCCCTCAGTCAAATAAACCCATCCCCTGGTTCGGATGCCTTCTTTCTATTCAACCATGCCTGCTAGCCGTGGAGCACTTCTGTCATCCGCTTCAGCAAGCCATAACCCTCCTTGCTCCAAAGGAAAAACGAATCAGTTGGGTTAGAAAAGATGCAACCGAAGAATCGACCAGTCAGAAATCCAGAAAACTAATCGCGATACAAATAGACACGATAATTTACAATTACCTTTCATCACTGAAGTCAAGCACTTCTTGGTGATGGAGTGAATACATGAAGAGAAAGCAGCCCTACGAATAAAATGTAAAGCAAACAGCTTGTCTGAATTCTGCGTCCATGAACCAACTACTACTCTTTATTGTTCACTGTACCGTTGGACGATGCATTTAGCTCGTTCTTCTTCACCACCATGAACATGGAGACCGACCTTATAACTACATGCATTGTTATAAGTACACCTTAGGCTCTAGCTAAAATTGAAATCGCTCTCCGCAATATCCGCCATGTAATAAGTTATATTTAACAGTCCTGCATTCTGGAAGCTGGTGGCAGCCTCTCATCCGCCATATGCACCTGCTCCATTTGTATATGTTTACCCTTCTACTGGGATCGAAGCGCTTGCGAAACTAATGAAAAACTTAATTTACCATCCTTTGTCTGAAGGGCTGCGCAAAACAGATCTACAATTATAGGATAATCCGTAATACACATATAATCGCCAGATTATTTCAGAAATGAGTAAGAAAAACTGGGAGATGAATTCACAAACTAACTGGAACTCTTAAAAAAGTCCTAACATGGTTTCCTTGATGAGCCACCGTACACAGCCTAGAAGCTACATTATTTGAACTACATACCAGACTCCATTGACCCAAAATATGCAAAATTCATTTATTTTTGGACATGCGGAAAGCAATACTAAGCTGAAGCGTAAATCGGCTACGAATATTGTGCCCCTCGGACCGCTCAGCTATTGTGTTCCCGATAGGTTACGGTACGTTCAGACAAGCGCTGGGAATTTGACACAGGAACACCGGATACCGACGGTGTCAGAATGTAAAACAATGGTAACTCCTTCCTCCAAAATGATCTAGTAATGGGGTGCAGAGGAGGAAGTCATGAACACTTCATCCCAAGTTGAACAATTTAGTCTGTTGCGCCGTTGGTGTCCTCTAGCACTGACACTCTCAATCCTGTCTGCCTTTCGTTATCACCAATGCATCAAGCCGCTCGGGAGCATGCCCGAAATGCAATCCATGTCCACCAAATACGCATACATATTGCCCTGTGCTTACACTCAGCGTGTCCCGTTGCTTAGTGTCCCGTGACCGTTGAGAGTGGCACTGATGGTGCAACCAAGTTGGCATGCAGGGATAGACTGGGTTCATAAGCGTGTTAACTTGGATGAACCCCATGTGATTTTTATCTTTTACTAGCTACTTATTAGCTCTAAGTTGCCTGAAAATTGGTACATGGTCGACTAAATGCTCGGAAATGAGTGCCCATATCACTTCTGAGAATACAGAGTGGGAGACCACAGGGCCAGATTTTGCGGGTTTCGAGCGATGGCCATATTTGTAACTTGGTATGATTAGTTCGTGTATCCGCATGAGAAGCAGTTTGGGGATCCAAAGAAGATAACTTATGGGCTTTTGCAACAACACAACTTCACTCCAGCGGTGCATCGATTTCTGCAACAATGAGTCCTCTACCTCCTAGCCGAATCATATTCATCATATTCATCATACTCACCGCTACCATCCTACGGGACGTGTCAAGCACTTGCTTTTATCCCGTGATAAATCATTGTTCATTGTTCATTGTTTAAATGAAACAATCAACTGACGCAGCATTGTGTGCCGTTTCCATATGCGACAAAGTAAGGCATACTAAAGTGAGACAGGAGATCTGCAAAGATTGCAGCGCGAAAACCGAGCTCCCGCGAGCGATGTCCGGCTTGGGGTCGGCGATGAGCAATACGTGGAAAAGGAACCACTCTGCTCATTGCTGCCAAGCACCCAATGTGAGTGTGGTCTTTCGTGACAAGTCACTTACAGATGCGGAACAATCATTTGGCAACATGTCTAGGAGGGTGCCGCGAATATATGTCTACGTAAGTCTGTTGGTTTGAGGCAAAGCCTTGCGATTCCAGTTAGACACGTTAGCTACTGTCATAATTCTACCAAAGAAGCGCCGTTCCGGGGTGTGCATCCGATCCGGTCAAGATTACCTGCACATGTGGAATGGTTCTAGACTTCATGCAAAGTTATCAGTTGCAGTCGAAGTACTTAATCTAAAAGAAGGAGCTTCACATCGACTAGTGTGTGATTTGGGAAGAGGAGCGCATGCCGATCTCGGTGTGTATTTGATCCAGTCTTGCAGTTTTGTTCCTTTTACTCATGAACGCTTTCTGCAAGCTTGTCAGGGAGAAACCGAGATTAGTGATCAGTAACCTCTGTGTTTACGCCGGGTTTGGGAAAGTTTGATGGAACCGCTCACTTGTCCTTAGATCCTAGGACTTAGAGTGCTACCAGTTAAGAGAGTTCCATTTGCACTGCTGATAGCTTCTCCACTTAATTGAGAAAATTAGTGAAAGTGTGTGATTGCCAAAGTCGACGGGCCAATCGACCGGGTTAGTCAGGTCGCAATCATTACGAAGAACATGGGAGAACTACGCGTGTGTATTGACCCAAAACCGTTGAATAAGGCCTTGCGTAGAGAACACTTTGAGTTACCTACTCTAGAAGAAAGTTTGCCGTGGTTTTCCAAACTAAGTGTTTCATGAATGTAGACCTGTCTTTGCCATTCTGGCACGTCGTTCTAGATAAAGATACCAGTTTTTTATTAAGTATGTCACATAGTTCTGGCTTCTTCGTTTGCTGCGTTTGCCGTTTGGTTTGCAGTAAATAATGAAAGGTTTTGGAAGCGATTGATGCAAGTGGTAGACGATTTAGACGATTGTTAGGCGATGTTTTGATCTTAGGTTCGAGAAGAGAAAACTTTGACTCCAATCTCCACTTTCTGCAGCTTTGTGTGCAAACAACATCAAGCTTAAACGTGAGAAAAATGAAACTCAGAAGAAGGAGTTGATTTTTTGGGCACTTTCCTATCACCCAAGGGGTTAGAGTTGATTCAGATAAAGTGAATTTAAGAGATGCCGCCTTCTAACAATGTGAAGGGAATTCATCGCTTAAACGGTATGGTGAATTAATTGTGCCGTTTTATGCCAAGGCTCGCTTATATCATGATGCTGATCAGGATGTTAACTCAAAAAGGAGTAAATTGGAGTTTGGTAAAAGAACAGGAGGCCGTATTCGAAACTATTATGAACCTCAACAGCAACGCACCGGTATTTAAGTATTACGATCCAGCGCAGCCTTTGGACGTACAGTGTGACAGCAAACAAGACGGAATAGGTTCTGTTCCATTACATAATGGAAAATCTTTATATTTCCGCTTGACGATCAGATTGAGAAGGAAATGGTCGCGGTAGCTTATGCCATGTAGCTTTTCAATGATTATGCTTTCGTAAGAAAGACAACTGTGCTTACCGACAACAAAACGCTTGGGTCCATAGCAAAGAAACCGCTGTACATATTCCTCCTTGCCTTCAGCGTATGCTTATTCGACTAGAAAACTACTACATAAATATTGTATGCACTTTTGGTACGTAGATGTTCAAAGGGGACAAGCTTTCAAGAGCTCGGCTGCAGGTACGGAAGCCGAATCCGGAAGAGGTTGAATAAAGAAACCTAGTACAGCACCTGACAATGACAGAAGTTTACCCAAAGGATATAAGAGACCACACAGAAAAGGATGCAACATTTACGGCTTTGTGATACCTAATTCGAAATGGGGGGGGGCAAATGCAAAGAATTAGCTGCGGAGTAAACTAACGCCATACTTCAATTTTCGAGATCAACTCTGTGTTTTCAATGGTTTGGTGTATAAGGGACGACGTTTCTTGGTCCTGTCATCTCACCAAGGAGAAATACTGGAATAAGTTCATCGCGCTCCCTCAGTGTCAACTATACCATTAACCGCGTAAGCGTATTGATCTATTGGCCAGGAATGTCGGGTCCAATAATTGATAATGTCTCTAATTCTATGAGGTGTTTTTACACGATATCCGATGGACAATGGAACTAATGATGTTACATGATGTTCCAGACTGATCGTGGCAGAAGGTGACGGTGGATTTGTTCAGTGATAACGGGAAATATTACTTACAGTAAATAAGCAAGGTGACTTTTGTGAAATATATATATTAAAACGTTACTACGGCCACAGAGACAGTAATATACAAGTTCGGATGTCCGTTTGCGCGGCACACTATCTTGAAAGTGCTGGTTTCCGACAATGGTCCCCATTTTACCAGCGCTGGGTTACACGCCTTACAACCAAGTGGGAATTTGTACACAACCAAAACCGTCCATATCACAGTCAGTCGAATGAAAAGGCGGAGTCGACAGTGAAGCAGGCCACCCATCTATTATCAAAGGCTAGAGCAAATGGCGAGGAATAGGACTTTATGCTACCGAATATGGCAACACTTCTTCAACGGGTCTCGGGTTGAGACAAGAGCAGCGCCCATAGGGTCGATGTACTAGAACTCTGATGCCGGCATCTGTCACACATTTGCGGCAAGAGTCTCTCCACATCATGAGCCATTACAGAACAACCTGAGATGACGAATGATCACACAGAAACGATACTACAACCGCGGTGAACGGATGCTGTCTGAGCTAAAACTGAGGGAGGAATTGTGGGTTCACCCAGTACCCAATAATCAAGAGCGGTGGAGGAATGGTGTGGCGAATTTGAGGGTCGGTGCCAATTCATATGAAATAAACGCTCGGAGTAAACTTTCAGAAGAAATCGAGTGCATTTGAGACCACACTGGAGACAGCAATGTGGATTGGGATTGTAGGGCCAGATGTCGTGGGTTAAGGATGCCACGGCTGCAGACACAGCGAAGACGACACGGAGTGAAAAGGTGTACGGGGTGTATAGGAATATGGAGGCGCAAGGACACGAAAATGTTAGAATGCGATAGGTCTGTTCGATTAAATTGAGCGGACGGACCAACCGAGCGAGCCAGAACACCAGAGAAAGGCGGACATAATTGATTCGATTGCTGTACTCGGATTCGCTGAGATTAGTGCGAGTGAGTCACTATTTGTTTAACTGAAGTAAAAGAGGAAACTCATCGACTCGGAAAGGCCATTATTTATGGACTTGAACATGCAACTTTTCTTAAAAAGCTCGGTTTGCCAAACGTGACGTAATTTTCGTCAACTTAGCTTTGCTGAATAAACGTTTGTTTCTGAAGGACTGAGTTTTCCCACAAAATTCGCGGAATTCAACGGGAGGTCAACCAACCTGTTTGTAATGCTCCGAGCTCACGTATGCCACCAGCCTCATCAATAGGCAGACACATATGGGAGGTCCACCATCGGGTTAACCCTGTCTCAGCCTTCCGGAGACTACAGCGTCATTCTAGTTCGCGATTTATGCGATTCGCCGAGGCCGTGGCGATAAACCGAATGAGACTGGCGCTATGTGTGCAAAAACAAATGGTTGTAACTCTTCGGATATCGTGGCCTTAGGGCTATAGCCGCCGTTCACACTGTTGCACGTGACTAGTCAGGGGACACTATTTGATTATTATTTTCATTACACTGATAATTTCCTGTTATCATAATGATGACGACATAATGTCGAAATGATAAGCAATGCGCCCATCTACCAATGTTCGTCTTCTTTCTGTGTTATACGAACTATTAAAAGGAAGTAACTGTTTTAACAGCACAAATTGGTCGCCCAAGCTAATGGAATCTTTGACGGCTGAATCAGGTGGAAGGGCATAGCAATGCTATCTCCGAATTTCGAAATATATGACGAATACCGCAACCCAAGTCAGACCCAAAACGCCATTTACACAATTCAAGCATGATGTTTTCATGCACCCAAGATCCTTGAAACCAGTTTTACCAAAAAAGTACCAACCACACTTAGTTAAATGCAGTTAAAACTGCGTATAAGCTTACCGTTGTGGTGCGCACCGCCTGAGTCTATTGCAACTTGTCTTGTTATTGATTCCCGTGTGAATTGAATCTGCGTGACTGGACAGAATGCACAAAAGGACAAGAATTTCGTAAGATTTTCAGCTTCAAATTATTGAAAATGACTTTTTATAGATGGGAATTATAACCATTTTATTTCGATTAGATACGTACTTTATGTCAGTCGCTGTACAAGTCACTAATTACCTTGTTTGTGTAGACGTTTTCTTGTCGGCTGGCAGCCGAGTTGTCTGTGAGTCTGGTTTGTCACCATAAGGTACGTAGGGGTGGGCGTCCTCGCGGTATACTCAAAACGTGCGCGACTGGTGGTGATCGTGCAGTAGCGTAATGCCGTGACGGCGTACAGCGGACACCATTATTATCATTACTTTTCATTTGCTTCAGCACACAACGTTTCACAGAAAATCGGAAGCGTTCGCTTACGATCATGTTGGTATTGAAGTTCGAACTAGTCTTAATAGATTGTAACTCAGTGTAATAGTTTTAATCAAGTAACATATTCAGATAATCAAAGTTTTGACTGTTTCCGTTATTTGCAGTGCTTTTTTATGAACAAATTGATAGGTACGCTAAAAACTGGCTCCTAGATCGATTGTTGCTTAGACAGTGTTCATTTGTTAGCTTGGAACCCCAAGCTAGCTTTGGAGCCAGAAGCAGCTTTTCTGCTAGCAAAACTGTGGCCGCTCTAGATCAGAGGCACAAGCTTCCACTAGTTTGAGAACGCGAGGCTGCTTTTTGCGTTAGGATGGCGCATGACTGGTCTTGATCGAATCAGCGGTTAGTGTAAAACAGCTGAATATCTCCATTCACCCAATTCTTCATTGATCGACACCTCTAGACGCATAACAATTTTGGGATGTATTGTTTGATTTTGACACCTAAACTTCTATAAGTGCACAAAATATATCCGTTTACATGGATATATTTGAATCCGTTTAAGCAAGTATACATTTGAATCCTTGTCTTCATTGCCCAAGGCCAGCACATAAGCAGATGTGCAACCGAAGTTGTTTAGTGTAATGCTGTCGAATTACACCTCTGTACATCGCAATTTTTGTTCGGTTTGAGTTGAACTACTTGATGCGACAGCTTTTAAAGAAAAATTTTATAACGACTGGGATTTCAGCATTTTAGCGCCTGACCATATTGTGCAGTATTATTAGGAAATTTTCAAAGGTGTGACAAATAATAACTGCACGGTGGCACGTTATATATTATTACACCACCACCACCACCACCACCACCACCACCACCACCACCACCACCACCACCACCACCACCACCACCACCACCACCACCACCACCACCACCACCACCACCACCACCACCACCACCACCACCACCACCACCACCACCAACACCACCACCAGTTTTTCTGGAGCGGAAATCACTTACCTATAACAACTCAAATTTGGACCAGACAGCATTTGTGTTGCACCACTTAGAAACACTTAAATGCAAATGCAGAAAAGTTTAGGTCGATTTTCGGTAGACAGACGTTTGCGAAGCTTCAGGTTTTATAATAAATATTATTTATAAATGCGGAAGTTTTAACACTGCTTAGTGACATATCATTATTTGCTTTTGGTGCGTATTTTTGATTTTATTTGTCAAGTGTACGATATCCTCACCGGAATCAAGGTTAAATAGAATAGCCCCAACCTAAGGCCCAGATAGACCTACTGATCTTATGATTTTCTACGCCTTGCTTACAGTTTGAGCAAGAATGTGAAAATCAGCATGACGTAGTTATGACCTCCATTGGACGAACCGTGCAAATACAGATACCTTTTTTCAAAGTACAACCTGGTGGTTAGTCTGTCTAAATAATCCTATGTTTCAACATTTCCATAGAGATTGGCAGTTGAGAATTGCGCTGTCCATATTGTGATTTGTTGATTATATGTGCTGTTCCAATTAAATCCAAACACATCTCATTACAAATGAAAGCTATGGAAAGATCCCATGATAGCTACTCCTGCGTCTGTGCGGAAGTTTCCATTGTAGCCAAGCAAATGAAAACTTCGAAAAAGTGCTGATTAGCTGACTTTGTTGTCACATGCCTAAACATTGCCGTTGTTATGAAGTTATCCACCGCATGGTAATAATTCAAGTCCAACGCCAGGTAGGATAACATCGCCGTAGTGATCGCCAACCTGATGTTATGTTAAACAAAGGGACAGCATCGAAGCAACATAGGAAGGTTGTCATCATTACATGTAGCGCGGGGCGTATACTATGGGCTAGTCTGGAATGTCCACTAAAGGATCTAACCCATTTCACTTCGAAAGTTGTTACTTGCTTTGCATATTTTGTGTGAAATACGCCGCAGATAATTGGTGATGGATAAATTATGTTGTAAAAAGATAACAAAAGAAAGTGAGGTAAATATGTATATTTTGACTAATGTTCGTGCTCAACATCACCATGACTCGAGGTAGACTTGCTACTTTATTTTAATTATTGCCGGGCACAGCATATTTGTTGGCTTCAATTTAATGTCAGTGATAAAACGTTGTTTACATTGGTCTGTATATCATATGCCCTTGTGCTTTCAACACCAATTATACAAATCTTCTAAGAGGAGACTTTTGTGAAGGTTGAATTAGAGAGTAAAACGGAATGTAAGAACAGGGAACAAAAGTTTCTCTCCTGTTCACCGTATTTATTACTATGTGCGCCAATGTCTCATGGACCGATCGACGTGCAACGGATTCTGAAAAGACGTGTGAAATCTCGTTTGATATTTTAATGATGACCTCTCAACAATTTCATCTAAAAATTATTTCTATTCATTGACAACAAAAGTGTGAATATGTTTCCAAATTAGCATGTACATTTTGCGCAGTGGAAAATATCGTGATTAGTTGACACAGGCCAATTTCGGTAGCATTAATCGCGTCAGACTGTTTCTGATTTTTCATGTAAATTCTTTGCAGCTTTGTTATTATCTAAAATACCTGTGAAAAAAATTGCTTTTGCTGTCGCATATTACGAAAGAACCAAAAAATGCAATGAGTTTAAATATTCAGTGTCACGAACTCAAGTTGGCCATAGGTTTAGGATAATCTATAAGTGCACGAGAGAAATTCCTTGCTTGAATGGCGAGGGTGGCCGACGCTTATTCCATTAAAGCACTAGGAACTTTCTTGTTTAAATAGCAGTACAGTCACACCATGTGACCCTAGTTAATCTCGGAATATTCACCGTTTTCATCAAATAAACGTAATTCACTATACTAATCGTTCTAATGACCGTCTTTCAAGTGTAATATAAACCGTGGCTTGCAAGCATAAACGCTCTAGGAAGCGAGATTAGTTACGAACCGCTCCGGTGGTTTAATGTCAGTGTCATAAAAGCTGATGGTACCATATGCCCAATGTACGCAAACCGGGGGCCTAGAACAAGCAACCATAGAAATTGTATGGTCAACAAATTGATTACAAAGATGCAACGGATCAGGGAAGCTCAATACGTATGGCCGACTTAGGAGGGCATTCATGTAAACCTGATTTCGGTATTGTGATATGTACGAAATTTTGCGACCAATTTGCTTGTAGCCGCATGTAATATAACAAGTAGATGAAACTCAGAGCTTACAGTGAAATTAGTGAGACATATTTGACAGAAGTTCAACAATGAGTGTACAACCAACTGCAATTATCCTAGTATTTAAGTCTAAGAATCACTTAATCTGTTAGCCTTTAGCGGTCCTCGCGTAGGATATTAATATCAGGGCTTCTGCATATTAGGACATGCGCTAATTACCTTTGCTTGTGGGATCCATCACCAAAACCTTCTATTTGGATAAAATTATAACGCGATGAAAATATGATTTGCTGATGATGCAGGAATGCCCATCTATCAACAATGAAACCGTATTGATTATCAGGGCGCTGTGCAAAGACCAAAGCTATAGCTACATAAGGCTCTGCTCTGATCAACTCACCAGACAGGAATTCTTAATATATAGAAATGCATATATAGCTTTATTTGTTGAGTTGAAAGACAAGGATATAAGCATAGCGACTTTGCTGCGTTTTGCGTTAATGCAAAATTTCATTAAGAATTTACAATGAAATACTCACCATGGTGACGATACTACTTCAAGCTTTTTACTGGGTTGTCCTTGATTTTAACTGCTTGGCTAGATTTGGCTCAGTGGATCGTAGGTTACATTGGTGTGTCATTTTGAAGTAGGCGTTGTGTGTTTGGATTGCTACGCAGAATCTTAATGTGGACGGCTTTTCGCATTGTTTTGGATCTTGACCCATACAATCAGTAGGATCGTAGACGAGGCAGTCGGAAATCGGTTGTTTTCCACCGGAAAATGTTGCATTCTCAAATAATAATACAATAGTCTCAGTTTCGAGGTCTGCTAACTCCACCTGATGAGATCGAACAAGATGGTAGCTCTGAATGGAGTGCGGTGTTGTCAGGCAGGCATTACCCAAACTTCAAAGAACACAGTTACTGTCGTATGGACCGAAGTGGCCAATAAATTCGCATAGCGAGTAAAAGCAGTCAGTAACATTTATGCCAGTTGTTGCCCATCGTAGCACGGTGGAACATTAATATTTTGAGCTGATAAGGTTCTTCCTTATGGCAATAAGTATACATTGCAATATCATTTCCTTTGCTCCCAAAATTGCAAAAACGAAGACTTTGTCTCTACTAGATATTTTAGAATACCTTTATAAATGACAAGGATGTTAGCATTTTAGACTGCCTTTTGTTCAACCGGTTCACTTTGAAGGTGGAATATGCGGCGAATAAGTGCTTTAATCTAGACCAGTTATGGGTACCATAAAAACGCACAATAAATGTTAAACGACGTTTTAAGCGTTATGCATTTCCTTCTATTCAGATTTCAGGTACTTATTACTTCACAGACGGAGGCTCGAACAAAGGACCTACCAGAACACCAGCAATCTGAGAGAAATTTGTGTCAATACCAGGTGACCGAGTTTAAGTTTACAGGAGAAAAAATATGTGCATTCAGACGGGGTTTTCTATTAGCTTTCCTACCTTAAGTTGACAGATTGAAGGGGGACTAAACAAAGGAGACATAAACAGACTTGAACAGCTGGTGTCTGGACACGACACAGCAAACAGTCAGACCAACAAGCCTTCATGCATCCGGAATTATTGCGGTGTTGTCTGTGCTTGTGATGGTTTATTGAAAGCAACTGAGACAATAGCGCTAGAGAAGAGCTTGAATTATTTTATAAAAAGTAGCTTTGGCAAGGAGATTCCGAATGTTAAACTGCAGTGAATAGCATGCCTGTTGAAATGGCAGAGGAAACACGCGCACCACCAGTTCGGTGAATGCATTCACTATGTATGCTAACGGAAGGTATAACGCTGAAATATGTGCGGAAAAACCCCCTAATTTCATTACAAGGGATAATAGGGATCAAACAGACGGGATTTTGGATATTGCAAATTATTTGCAAATTTAGTGGCGTATTCAACTGTTGAGCCGTATTGGATATGTGCACAAAAATGTTAGCCCTCTAATAAGTAAGAGGTAATAGTATGCCCGTACTAGTTTAAGAAATGCGGAGAAAAGTTTAGTACAAGCTTAATGACAGTTATGGTCTCAATCTGAGAGTAACCATTATTGCCAAAAATTTACCTTTTGCAAACGATGCACGATAGAAATTCCCATCTGGCCCATGTAGGGTTTATAATCTGCTCCACATGAACCACACGAAACTTGATCGACTAATTGCCAACCCTGACAAGAGGAGGAGGAGGAGGGAACACTCTAGAGTTTAGAAGAATTTTAAGGGGTTTAGCAATGGAGGGGCGCGAAATAGCAACAGGCTCTTTAGTTGCGGACAAAGCTTCGCCCACAGCGTTCACACTAGATGACTGCTCCAAATCGTGCTCCCAAAGTTCGCACATTTTCTACTTGTCACTTTGTCGCGTTTGGTTTACAATTTCCCCATTATCTCTGCATTTTCTCCGCAATTATTCTCGCAGCTATTGTTTCTATCTTATTTGCAGATTTGCGCAAAACTTCGCCCTATTTTCTTTTGTGAACTTTCGCGCAGTTACAATTAGCACCCCAGCATTGTAACTTCTTTGGTTAAAGGAGTCTTCTAGTTTTCCATCAAACTTCCACACGTCTCATTCCGTCTCCATGTGTTACAGCTACGGAGCAAACCATGTTTCTGTCGGGAAACCCTCTCAGTAAAGCAACCGTCAAATTTCGTTGCTCCTGATTTCGGCCTGCGCGCTCAAATATCTTGCCCGGCACGCTAATGGTCCACACCAGACGTCTTATTCGCAATCGTGTGAAGCACGAAGGCAACCCATACAGCACGATGAGCCAATCACCTGACTTGACGAGCATTGGTCGGCAACAGCAAGAGCTATACCACCATCATGACTAAAACACCGGTAACCTGAAACGAAATATCTTGTGTTAATCCAAAGTGCGTATTTGGTTGAAGTATATTCGACATCTTCCCGTTGCTGTTGCGGCTACAATGCGAAGTGCATTACAGTCGGTCGAACGGAACTAAAGAACTATACTACACCTTTTCCCGATTGATTGTATAAATGGTGCAATTGAATTGCTCTCTAAGGCTTCGATTTGCAGTTGTAAGCTAACTGAACGTAATCATTAGTGCAACTGAATTGCGTCCGGTATCATTTCCACGTGCCAAGCGCGCGCAGTGACCTTCGTTTTGAGCTAACCTAAAGCAGCCAATGACGGTAAACTTAATAATCCTCGAATGAATGTATGAGATGGTGGTGTGGTGTTGACGCGTGGGCGGCCTAGTCTGCATTCGGAAACGGAGCCTAATCTGAAGCTAGTTCCTCGCAGTTTAGCAGCACAATTTTGTCTGGACACATGATGCTACTGGGTATAAGTGGACTAAGGTAAACATAAAACGTCTTGCAAATGGCATCAGTGATGGAGGTGCGCACACGGTAATGCGATACGCTAGGCTAGTTTTACACTTGCCTTGACTAAGATTTTGGACAACCTATCAACGCTAGGGCATAAGACGGTACCATGTGGGGATAGCTAGGCAGTCAGAGGTGCAAGGCTGCGAATGACCGGAGGCGGTGTGACGGGTTTGCAAGCGGCGGTCTGCTGAGAGGGCTAGCGCTTAAATACGACTGTGGAAATTTTGTTACAAGCGAGTAGACCCTGCTTTGTTACAGCAGGCATCGCTTACCGTCTTAGTGGGTGCAGTGCACCGAGTTGCTTGTTCCTGAATCAAATGAGTACGCCGGGCTCAAGTGGTTTCCGTCCTAAGTGTACGATGTTTCCATGTGTAAAATGTATCAGCCAGCCTAGTTGCAAAAACTGAACACCGTTTAAATGCGAATATTGCTTTGCTGGAGGCGACAACAACAAAGGTTGCGCTTCATACGCCTCCCGCAGTTGACACCTCGGAACCAAGAAAAAGGCTAGGCATTCCCACGACCACAATAGCTTCTGGCAACCACGACGCAATTTGTTACTCCGAACGGTCGAAGCAAGCCCAGCGCCACCGCCCACCTTCCCTTATCTACTGTTACGACTGATGCAACGTCGTAACACCCATCCTTTCGATTGACAAAAGAAATCCGAAACGCTTTAAAGACCAAACAACTTACGCAACCGCACACTGTACAACCATAACACAGATCAAAGCCAAGGTACAACCGGCAGCGAAGTTTATTATGCAAACGATTGCGGTGCCTCCCGCATTACCGAAGACCAGGCGGAAATGCGGTGCTTTGATACTTATATGCACCAACGTTCCATAGTCCAGGGCAAACTTCTTATGGTGTAAAAACCAGGATGAGTTAAAACAGTGGAATTTATATAGTGATAATCGGAACTCAAATCAGTCCGGCCAATATAATGCGCATCACTGGACATCCAACCTCGATTACTTATAGGGAGTCTCGTCTAATGCGAGTAACATGGAGACACACAGATGATGTTGATATGGTGCATTTTTCGGCATAACGCATGCAGACAAAAGGCAGTGCGGTACACATATTTCCGAAAGTTCTATGTAGCGTACGTCAGCAGCAGAAAGCAGTTTAAACGACTGCCATACGGATATCTGCGGACGAATTATGTTCGTTCATGACCTGCCCTAGCTACCGGCATCTAACGACGAAGAAGCCCATGCACCTGACCTGAAATAATGGTAGTACATCCGTGAAGCTATCCTTTCTTATGATGTTATAATTCGATCGATTACGCGATTATCCGTGTCGCCATACCACAAAGGCAGTGAACCGATGATAATGCAACGTTTGGTCTAGGTACAACAGATGGCGTTGAACTTAGACTGCAACTGGCAGGTACGAAGCAATACATTTTCTTCGAAACTACAATTGAAGACAAATGTTACTGAATTGCAGCGACCCACCATCCCGCCATCAAGAATGCTAAAGATGGATGTATATATCGTAAGTGTATGCGAGACCAAAAACAGGTCGCATTCATATCGAGATTTTGTTAGTCACTCAAAAGACTGTTAGGTTCGGGCCTTCTGAGTCGACAAAAATCAACCACTTTCAAATGCTTATCGGTTAGAGATTTTGATATACAAAATGCTTTCCTGTGTGTGCACTAATGCTCACGGCCGGCTTCGCAAAATTTCTTGATTGCGAGTTTGTCAACCATACAATTCCTTTGATGTCATCGCTGCAACAGAGACATGGTTACACCTCGACGTAAGTGACATGGAGATCACACTATCAGGTATGCCCGTTGTTCGGCACGATCGACCAAGCAAAAGTGCTGTGGTGGCTCTGTACTTCTGCAGCGTCCTTCAATGTGATCCCACTGGGGACCCGGCTAACATAGTACAGGATTCCTTTTTGTGATGTCTACATTTAACAGGCGATGACGGCTGCTTGGTGGCAGTCGTTTACCGCCCATCCTCCTTCACTGACGTGCTGGATTTCTATCTAGAATTCGCACTAAAGCGAGTAATGAAAGAAAGTACATCCGCATTCTTATTACTAGCGATTTCAATATCTACTCACTTGAATCCCAAGCTTCTCCTGCAAAATAGTTTAAGGCTGGTCTACAATCGATTTTGTCCAAGTTCCCTCACTATAACAACATTAACACTCTCATCAGATTCAAAGAAACAGATCCG